GGAAATACCACTATAAACTCGCCCCGTACGCCACTTATGGTGGGCAAACGTACGGGGCGGTCCCTATACTTATAATAAGGACCCCCCTCAAAAAAAAACTAAAAAACGCTATTCTAATTATTAAGGCCCCTATGTTCGTCAGACTACTCCCTAAGTTTCCTTTAAGCAGAAACTTATACTGGGGGTTCAGGGATTCGGGGCTTTAACTAAAGTTTAGACTTATTGCTTTTATGTAAAAGGGTGGTGAGAGATCGTTCTGACTGGAATGGCAAACACGACTTCCTTTGCTGGGCGCACGGCGGAGATGCACATAGGCTATTGTCAACTGCAGCTTTCTCGCGCAGCTCGCCTCCTTGAGCCGTAACTCTGAATTCAAGGCGCGACTCCAAACCCCTAATCCCCAGACTCCAAACCCTAAACCCCTGAACCCTAAGCCCTAACCCCTAAACCCCAAACCTTAAACCCTAAACCCCTAAAACCTAAACCCTAAAGCCTCAACCCCAAAAGCCCAAAGACTCCACAAACCCGAAGCTGCAGACCCCAGAAAGAACCCGCATAAGCCTCTCAGGGGGATTCGGCTTAGGGTTCCGGGTTGTCTTACATGCCACTTTGCGTTTGAGTTCGTGACAAGGGGACGCTTGTGAGAAAGCGGACATGACAACAAGCTCCTGTTTTCAAAGGGTGTAAATTCAAGCAGGCAGTGCTAGGTAAGGCACCTGCTAAACTATAAAGGTTTTGCTTGACCCCAGAGTCCCTTGTCCCTTGACCCCTTGTCGCTAAATGGACGCCAAAGCCCAAACCCCCCCAAACCAGCCAAACCAAGCAACAAAAACAAACAAATACTAAACCTTAAAACTTAAACCCTAAACCTTAAATCTTAAACCCTAACCCTTATACTAGCACGTACATTTCCCTGCAAGGGAAATGTTAGGGACCCTGAGCCCTAGAAATCCGAAACCAACCTCCTGGATCCCTGAAGCCTAAGCCATATAGGGTTTAGGGTTTAGGGTTTTAGGGTTTTAGGGTTTAGGGTTTAGGTTTTAGGTTTTAGGTTTTGGGTTTTAGGGTTTTAGGTTCTAGGGTTTAGGGTTTTGGGGTTTAGGGTTTTGGTTTTGGGGTTTAAGGTTTTAGGGTTTTAGGGTTTAGGGTTTAGGTTTTAGGTTTTAGGGCTTAGGTTTTAGGGTTTAGGGTTTAACCCTAACCCCTGGGCAGGAACTGCCATGGATCCGCACCGAGTGCGTTATTGACGTGGTTCAGGCGCTCCCAGATCAAGCAGAACGAAAGCTTCATCATCAACTGTAGGGGCCTGGTGTTGGGGTTTCAAGTATTTTCTTTGTCGTGTTTGAAAGGTTCTTGAGTTAGTTTGAGGGTTGCTATGTGGGTTCCTACAGGGCAGGGTTTGGGGCTATGTTAAGGCTTCGTTTTCGGGGTCAAGCGGTTTCAATAGCTGTCAACACATCTTACAGTGAGCTTGAGTAGCTTCCCTTAAATCTATTCGTTAGCTTGAATAGCCCTCCCATAAATCTATTCGAAGATACGGCCGAATCCTTATCTAGTTATGAAAGGTGCTGCATCACCTGCCTGTGGGGTTCAGGGTAAACCGGGGATCTGGGCGGTACGTTGAGAAATTTCGGGGTCTGGGATGTTGGGATGCAGCGTTCTGGGCCATGGGGTGAGTTAGCGTGGATGAGGTCTGAGGGTTTAGCGAATAGGGTTTGGGGTTTAGGGTTTATGTAAGTATAGGGCTCCTTTAAGGTTACTACAAGGCGAAGGCCGTTCGTGAGACCATCGGCTCGGGGGTTCAAGCCTTATGACCAGATAGTAGTAGAAGTAGGAGTAGAAGTAGGAGTAGGAGCAGGAGTAGGAGGAGTAGGAGAAGAGGAGGTGGTAGGTAGGTAGGTCAGGTAGGTAGGTGGGCAGGTAGGAGGTAAATAGCTAGGTGGTAGAAAGACGACATAACCCTCTCCTGGCTTGCCTTCGGTGATATTGCTCATGATAAACATCATTACTATAATGATGGTGTTGATGATGTTGATGATGACGATGATGTTGATGATGATGCTGATGATGATGATGATGTTGATGATGTAATGTTGATGATGATGATGATGACACTTATAATGATGATGATGACGAAGATGATATATATATATATATATATGAGGATTGTAATGATGAGGATGACGAGGAAAACATGCAATAGTTTCCGTGATGCGCTACAAACCTGCCTTTTTGCAGAAATCGTGCCAACACCGAGGATTCGTGTACGATTCAAGTACGAATGTAATGGGGCGCTCTGTGCACCCGCACCGAGGTAGGTATGTCGGTCGGTAGGTAGGTTAGCAGTAGTAGTAGTAGTAGTAGTAGTAGTCGTCGTAGCAGTAGTAGTAGTAGTAGTAGTAGTAGTAGCAGTAGTAGTAGCAGCAGCAGCAGCGGGAGCAGGAGTAGTAGTAGTGGTGGTGGTGGTAGTGGTAGTAGTGCATAGTAGAGGTGGTGGTGGTGGTGGTGGTGGTGGTGGTCGTGGTGGTAGTAGTAGTAGTAGTAGTAGTAGTAGTATTGGTAGTTGTTGTCGTACTTGTTCTCGTGGTGGTGGCAGTAGTAGTGGTGGTGGTGGTGGTGGTGGTAGTAGTAGTAGTGCATAGTAGAGGTGGTGGTGGTGGTGGTGGTAGTAGTAGTAGTCGTCGTCGTCGTAGTAGTAGTAGTAGGAGGTGGTGGTGGTGGTGGTGGTGGTAGTAGTAGTAGTAGCAGTAGCAGTAGCAGTAGCAGTAGCAGTAGCAGTAGCAGTAGCCAGTAGCACTAGCACTAGCACTAGCACTAGCACTAGCACTACTAGTAGTAGTAGTAGTAGTAGTAGCAGCAGCAGCAGCAGCAGCAGCAGGAGCAGTTCAGTAGTAGTAGTAGTCGTCGTCGTCGTCGTCGTCGTCGTAGTCGTAGTCGTAGTCGTAGTCGTAGTCGTAGTGGTAGTGGTAGTGGTAGTGGTAGTGGTAGTGGTATTCGTCGTCGTGGTGGTGGTGGTGGTGGTGGCGGTGGTAGCAAGGTGTAGTGGTCGTCACCGTCACCATCGTCGTCGTAGCACTAGCTCTAGCACTAGGATGCACTAGGTTTGTTTGTACTGGTGCTAGTGACGCTAGTGCTACTGCTACTGCCCGACGGCCAACACCTCGACTACTGATGCTGCTGCTGCTGCTGCTGCCCATTAAACAACTACGACGACGACTGCAACCACTCCTGCTGCTAACAACATTCTCCCCCCTGAGACAGACATAGTATCTTCTGTTTTTTCTTGGCCCCACGCTGCAGGGACAGTCCGGCCGCCTCAGTTTCGGTGGTCTGAGAGAAGTCGTGAGGGACATGTGGTCCCGGCCTTGGCCGGACGACATCTTTGCTAAACTGCCGTGTCACGCGAAGCACAGGTATGGGCTGGCCATTCCACCCGACCAAATCACCGAGTTCGATCTGAAGGGCCTGTGGAAGGTTCCTCTCTCACAGCCATCATTTGTTCTTGCTTCAAGTGCGTCCGGGTTCCCACGACAAACCATAGCAGGCGTTGGACGAAGACAAATCCAGCACTGTTAGTGTCGGCGAGTTCATGGTGTCGGGCTCATTCCTGACAGTTCTGATCTATGGACCGGGTTGGAATTCTAGCGATTCTGGCAAAGAGGGTCGTGATACAGCAATCCAAGAATGTCGATTGGTCTCAAACATAACGAATCGAGATTGACCACAGACATTCTAGGAGAGCAGCCTCACAGCAGGCACATTGGCAGAGCATACTGAGACGGAGTTGAGAGGGCCACTTGATCACTGGAATTCTGCACCTCAGTTTGATTTGGGACGGTTGGGCTCCTAGAAAGTGTCCATAGACGCGGCCGTGCTTCGGAAGTATTTGGAGGGCTGCCAGCGCCGCACAACACGCTCGCCCACGTCCGTGCATTTAAACGTCAGCTGCCGGGTCATATCACGCGAATATTTACAAGCTGGCGACCCTTGGCTTTTTATTTTGGATCTTGCAAAAAGATTTGTTTCTCCTGTTGCATGCCGGGGTCTGTTAACGCAAGAGCAGAAGGCCCGGAACACCAATTTAATTTAACCCAACACGAGCCAAACGAATGAGTTGACGACTGATGCCCCTAGCAACTAGTAGATTAGTAGATTCTGCTTAGCTCCAGGTCTTCATGCGCCGCTATGGAGCCAAGCACGGCATGCAAAAGTCATCGCAAAGCAAGATGACATGTGCCTGGCTCACCCGCTGACATGTCATGCTTAAGACCTTCGGAAGTGGCAACGCAAGGCAGTGTGATCTCCGTGGGAGTCTCAGAGCCGGTATGGGATGTCGTGAAGTTTCCAACACGACTGGACCTTCGGAGGAAGAAGATGAGGAGCAGAAGGAGCAGATCGCAAATGCACCAGTGACCTGACAGCCTCGAGAATACTTCTATCAATTGCCAAAGCTTTCTTCAGTGCGGGCGTGTGCCAAGGAATTGGATGTCACAGCCTCTCTTTCAGTTTCGTGTCAATGCAAGCCTTGCAGAACAAAGGCTGGGCATGCAAGAGCTTGTCTGAGGCGCATCAGCTCGTCACCCTTGCTACCAACTTGACGCGGTGGCCTCTGCGCGGTGACCAGTGAGAACGCGCTTCCTTTCTCCCTAGGAAGGATACAGCAGCATGGTCACAGGAACTGCTGAGCATAGAGGCTGCAATACTGATCTTGAAGGTTGGGCGTCCATTCTTGGTTATCCAGAACTGGGGTGGCCGCCTAAAGATCATTTCCGTTTGGAGGGTTGTTACACAGAAAGTTGACGCAAAGGCTGACAAAGGAGCATTTGCGGGAGCACTGCTCTGGCCAAAATTCATCGACGCAAGCGAGAGCTCAAGGCAGGGCTTTCTGTCGGAAGATCTCAGAAGTGAAGAGCGGTCGGATGCTGCGAAAGGAACGGTCGGATGAGATTCACGGACTTCCACAAGATGGTGGTGCAGGCAAGTGCTTCGCCTTCTCATGGAAAGATGTAACTCGTCGAAGAGCGTCCAGGTGATACGGCCGCCGCCTTCACTCGAGCAGCTCATGGCATTCTGGCGGGAGGCTGCATCAAGTGTGGGTATGCGATGCGTTTCTTTAGATGATCATGTATGGCAATCTGCATCAGATAACTCAGGCCCGAAATGCAGACATCCATATCAAAGACCTGCACCTGCATAGGAAAGACCAAGACGAAGCGAGCAGATAGGTTACGAAGGATCCAGCAACGAGGGGTGTTCTATGACGCGTGTTCAGGTGGATCAAGAGGGCACCGGCGAGGTTACTGCTTCCCACTTTGACAATGCTGTCTATCGCCTGCAGGCGTGCCACCCAACCTTGACGGCCCTTTTTCTGTCAGAGTTTGACCAAATAGCTGATCCGGCCATAGGTGGATACCTGGCCGGAGTTGGATCAGCAAGGTGCCTGTGCCACTGTCGTGCCTACTGCTGCATTGGGTCCAATGCTCTGCTTGGACAAGAGGCATCTTCCGGGTCATTCACGTCCTGAACACTGCTGCCGACAAGCCTGAGGCTTAGCAAGTCGTCCAGCCCCAGATGGGCTTGCTTTCTTGAGACTGACAGGATTTCCAATTCAAGAAGTTGAGGTGGCACAGAGCATCTGGCAATTGGTACAAGGTCTTCCTGGCAATCGCCTCAGGTCGAGCCTTCGAGAATCAAGCGCCTGCGAGCCGGCCTGAGGCCTGCGATGAGGATGGCTCCGGCAGCATGACATTTGATGAGATGGTGGGTGTTTGCCGGAAGTGCGAAGCTGAGACACTCTGAGCCGGAGTCTGCCCTCTGTTGAGCATGTTGCAATTTCGGTTCGGCTGCGCGATGCTACGACACAGAAGAGGCAATCAGGCGGTTGCATACTCCGGCCATCTCTGCGCTGCAAGGAACTTCCCCGGCTTGTCTATTTCGCCCCAGACGATGCCAGAGCGGGACAGTCAGAAGATGTGGACAGCAGGTGACCATGGCACATAAGGCATTGCTCTCTTGCGGAGGACATCCGCGGATTTTGGCGAGCGTTGGATGCCCATCGTGCAGGAAGGGTAGAGGCCTGCACAAAGTACACTTTGGCCGTGGCATTAGGCAGGGTCGCTCCTTGTGCCTTTCCGTGGTCCAGGTTTACGACTTTATGATTTTCATGAGGACTCTTGCTCGCCTTACTGGAGACAAGAGTTGAAGGTATGTTCTGAGTGCGCCAGGAAGTACGGGGCGCAGTTGTCGATGCCCACGCCCCATGTTTCGTGTTAGTGAGATCAGGCTGCTCCCTCCATAGTCTGTCCACTCAGGCACCGATCCGTTCGCAATAAGACTGCGACGACAGAGATTGAGGACTGGTTAAGCCAAAGCTTGAACCTCAGGTCCTCGAGGTTCGATGATGTTTATGAGATCATGTTGGCCAGGACTACGGAAAGCCTCCTGAAAGGAGTGACGATGAGCCAGTGGCCTAGCTTTGCTGAAACTCCTTTTGTGCCTGGTGCAGCTGGCCGTCCCCTTGGTTCGACAGCAGATGAGATGGAGGTAAGAACCGCAACACTTGGCTAGGCACAAATTTACGAAAGCTCCTTCCGTGGAGGAAAGAGCTTTCGTTCCCAAAACGCCCTCCGTTTTCGAGCCAACCCCCCCGGCCATGAGGTGTTTCAGGCGTGGGCCGCGCGGGCTCGTTTTCGGGGCTGCAAGCGGGAGAGACATCTTTTTGGAGTAACGGGACCCCGATGATGCTTAATTATGATGCCTGGTGCCGGGGCGGGGCGGGGGTGCAGCGGCAACCATCTCCGTCCTCCTCCGCCCCCGCGCAGCTTGCCCCCGGTTT